CCAGTTCCTAGTATAGTGCCTAGCAGCTAGTAATTAGTTGCTTAATAAATGCTTATTGATTAATTGATCATGAAAATATGTCTTGATGTAGTCTGACTCTTTTAGACTTCACATGCCAAGTCATCCTTCTCTAATTTATTCTAAATGAAGGAATCAGGAACTAACAACCTCAATTAAGGATGTCCCTTGTAGGTTCTTCATTTGCCCTTCTGCTGGGAAGAGAGCAAAGCAAGAAAAGGCTGGGAATATGCAATAGAAACATCCAATTTCAGTGCTTGGGCTGGTCCAGATGGTTTCTCACATTCAAATGCAAAACATCCTCTAGATTGACTGTGTGACTCATGCTTGACTTCCAAAGGAAACAGATTGGCTGGGGAGTAATTGATGCTTTCATATAGACAAACTACATGCTAAAGTTGGCAGAGTTAAGCATTTTGCATTATTGGGCTGGTAACCAATTGGCCACCCTTCTAAACCTGACTCTATTCTTCCCTAGCACTCTGTCCTTTTTCCAGTGCCTTATCCAGGATAGCAGATATATGTAGTTTCACCTTTAGTTCTATGTTCATTTGATTACACCAGCATATAGAACTCTTTGAGGTTAATAATGCAAATATATAGTTATTCCCACTTTACAGATAAGGAAAGTGAGGATCAGGGCAAGTGACTTGCCCATAATCATACAGCTAGTAGAATCTGAGTCAGAACTCTAAAACCAGACTTTCTGGCTTTAAGGCCAATGATTTCCATTTCCCAACTTTGCTTCATTTATTGAACTACCTGCATAGTATAGAAGATACTAGCTGTATACAATAATTATAATACCATGCACTATAATAAAAATCTACAGGAACTTAAAAGAGAAAAAGAGATCACTTATGGCAGTTAAAACAAAATTATGTTGATAATAGAATTCATTTCTGAATAATACAGCTATTGTGTAAAGTAAGTTGCATGAATTAAAAAAAAAACAATAAAACAAACACCCTAGTTTCCTTTGTAGCAATACAAGAGGATTTAAAATTTATTGCTAACTATTATTGTCCTGGAAGCTACCTATAAATGTGGAATTTTAGGTTGTAGATCTTTGTAATTGGAGATTTAAAAAAAAAGAAAATCTATATTTTTGCCAAGGGTAAGCAAAATGTGGCACTGGAGGTAGTGCTGCTGGCACTCTCACTGTTCTGTCCTTTCCTACTTTCCCACTTTCTTTTCTTTTTTATTTTCTTCTTTGTTTTGTATGCTTTTGGGCCTCCCAGTGATATCCATAAGCATTTCTTGACCCTCCTAGAATTCATAAGGGGTTATTTACTACAATCATTTGGAAAGGCATCATGCAATAAAAAATAAACTGGCCCAACAATTTAGAGTCTTCCACTATCATCTGCATAGTATTGCCCCAGCTCTTCTATGAGTTGTAGGACCTTGGGTGAGTCACTTAAACTGGCTAGGCATCAGTCCTCTAGTCTATAGAGTGATTGTTAGGATCACAAGGTGATCAACACCTGTAATAGCTTTAAAATTATAAACTCCTAAGAACTATTCCTAAAACATTCCTTGCAAGTTCTTTAACATATACTATTTCCTGCCTTCCCAGGATGTATCATTGGTACATATTTGTGAATTAGGTGACCTGGGAGGTCCCTTCTGATCCAAGGATTTTATGGAGTATTCACTAGAATATGTGATAGAATCTGTACCAGGCAGATGCTGAATTACTCATATTGGGAGGTCTTACTTGCCTTAAGTCTAGTACTACTAGAGTAATTGATGTGTGTACACTTTACTGTGTTCCCCAAGACTGTAGTCACACTTTATTTTTTTTTAACAAAACATATTCTAGTTACTTTGTCAGAAACTTCTGTTATCAGAGGTAGAAATGATACAAGAAACACTGGATACCTTTCAGAACAGCAGATAAGGGAGGTAAAGGTATACAAAGTAATTACATATTAACTAAAGAGGCCTCAGACGTGTTGGAAAATATAAAATATGCATCTGGAAGTCTTGAGGTAGGAGGTAATGGAAAGTTGGATCAAAGTTAAGGGAGTGAGGCTGACCTGTGCCCAATCAGGGAAGAAAAGGGAAGAAAGAGGTAGGATTCTAGCACTTAACTTGGTGCTTAGCATGTAAGAAGAACTTAATAAATGCCTGTTAACTTGGCTTGACTTGTTTTCAAGTTTGTAGGAAAAAGCTACTGGTAACTAGGAGAAACTGGCATCTCTACTCCAGGCAGCTTTTTGAGATCAGGAAATTAAATCTCTATCTCTAAGACGTTCCTGATGGCTTCCCCGGGGAAGTGCGAGATAGGAGCTGGGAGAGATTCTCCCTTTGGACATTTCTCTTTCTCACTTACCTTGAAAGAACTTAATTAGATTTATCTTCCATGCCAAAAGAATAAGTATGGTAGAGTGTGATTTTAGCCACTTTCCCTACCCTCTCTCCCCATTTTTCATTACACAATTAGAAATTAATGGCTTAGGTTACACACTGAGGTGTCACACACACACACACACACACACACACACGCACACACGTTAAAACTTGTTCATTGCAAGCACCTTCAGTTAGTTCATTCGTAAGTATAAGTGACTGATAACATTTTTCTATTTTGAGAGAAGGGTGAATGTCAGAGATCCAGAGGATATTGGGTACCTGTGTGAGGAGGGGAGAAAAGGAAGAAAGATTTCCTTGAAGGGAAAAAATGTTGAAAGAGAAAGCTGAGGGTGTTGTCAGAGGCTTACAGAGGGCTAGTGACTTGTAGAAGTTTGCATAGGCTCAATTTACCATCAACTGCTTAAGTACAAACATAGGATGTTGGTGAGATTTTTGGTCTTTGTAGGTTAGTGGGAAACATGCTTAAGATTACCTTCCTTCTAAGGAGATTTCTGCTCATAGAATTCATTAGTTGGCCTATCATTCTACTTGATTTCAATATGCCTTATACCTTCTATATACTCTGCATCTCTTGTATGTATCTATTTATAAACATTTTGTCTTTCCTATTAGAATGTGAGATTCTTGAGGTCAGGGACTATTTTTGCCTTTTCTTTGTAGCCCTAGAACTTAGCACAGTGCCTGGTACGTAGTAAGCCTTTAATAATGTTTGACTCATTGATGCCTTCGAAACAGTTTGCCAGGAAAATGAATCATCTTTCCACCCCCATCCCCATTAACATTAACTAGGTATAATTGGTGAAACTACCTTTAAAAGCTTCTGCTTAGTTATGTAGACAGGGTATTTGTCCTTTGGTAGGGCACTGTAATATGATTGTAATCCATTCATAGAATCTTAGAATTGAGACATACCTTAGAAAAAATCTATTCCTCAAATATTTATTGAAGGACTGTTATATGCTTTACACTATCTAATTGATAATTCAGGGACTATAACCATCTGAAACCAGACTTCCTATTATTTCAAGGGATTTAAAATATTTAAAGGGTGTTTGAAGTTTTGGGGAGAATATATTAATGGAGGCTGGTGAGAATTGCTGGTAACAGTTCCTCTCAAGACAGTCAAGAAGTATTTACCTGTTTTGACATAGACCAGGCCTCAGTGAAAACCCTGTGAGACCTCGTAAATTTCTCTCTAGTTTTTTGCATAGAACCTCTTTGTCCAGGAATCTCATTTGTCTTCCTCAACAACAATTGTCATCAAGTTCACATTTTTCCATGACTAGTTAGTATGTGATTCCAAAAAGGCAAGTTTGTAGGTATCTTTCTTTTTACTCTCTCTCCCATGAGTTCCTATTAAAGATAATTCACTTTCTTCCTTTCTCTTTTATTTCTCTACCACTGACCTTTTCTGTGAAATTCATGTATACTTAAGAAATTTGAGTGCTTTATCTCTCTCTTCTCTAGTCAAACGATGATTCTAGGGGGTTTAAGCTCAAACTGTTATTATTTGAGTACAGTCAACAAATGTGAATATCCCCTTAATTAGTGAATTTACTAATATTTTCCCTTTTTAGGACTTTTGCTCAAATGACTACCATTCTTTCCCTGTGTCGTCAGTTAACAGGGGAATATTAAACACTTGGTAATATGCCAGGCACTTTGGTAAACCATAGGGATATGAAGAAAGGAAAAAGCAATTCCTGCCCTCAAGGAGTTCATATTCTAATGGGGGAAACAACCTATAAATAACTAGAAACAGTGGAGATTATGGTGTCATAAACTGTGTCTTGCCAAATAGTCTTTAAAAAAAAAGTTTCCAACCACATTATCCATAAATATTTTTCATGATTTCTTTCTTAGAGTCAGGCTTACAAAGATTTGTACTGTTTTTTTTCTTTTCAACATTCAAGCACATAGGGTAAAATTGAAAATTTGGATTGGGGGGCAGGGAGGTGGTTCAGCAAAATAGACACAGCCATAGAATCCATAAGGAGTCCATTTGGTAGTGTCCAGTGAGTCACTCAACAAGAATTTGAGTGCTTACTCTGTGCCAGGTATTGTGCTAAGTGCTAGGGCTGGAAGAAAGGCTAAGACATGGTTGTTCCCTGCCATCAAGGAGCTCACGTTCTATTGGGATTCTGGCAGCTAGAAGACAGTAAAGAGAATAGGCCCCTCCAGTAATTGGCTGCACTTTTCATTTGAATATGCAGATTTGGCAGCTTAGGTAACTGGTTCTGCATGTGTGTGAACACTGAGGGTCTTAAAACTTATAGTCATAGCTACACTTTGAGAGAAAGGAATGACATTTCTGGGCTCGTTGGTGCCACAGAATGGGAGTTCTAATAGTGGCAGCTTCTGGGGAAAAACAAAATAGCAATTCTGCAAAATATTATACGACTAGAAAATAATTTCTCCCAACAGAAATTTGTAGGATCCTAATTTAGACTCACTGCCTGCTGTTTCTTAGCTGGACTCTCCCCTCAAAATTAGTACCAAATATATTTAGGCAGAGGAGGCAATTTATTAATGAATACTTTTGTTCAAAAGTAGACAGTTTGGTTTCTAATGTATTTTTCTTTTTGGACTCTTTTTTTCCACAGGTAATCATCAACAGCACAATCACACCTAATATGACTTTCACCAAAACATCGCAGAAATTTGGCCAGTGGGCAGACAGCAGAGCAAACACTGTGTTTGGTTTGGGTTTTTCTTCTGAGCAACAGCTGACAAAGGTAGCTTGGTTCTTTCTATAATATACTACTGTGCTTGGTGAAGTCCTTCAGACTTCAGTTGCTGTACATGTAGGGCCTAATTCATGCTGTCAACACTATTTGAATAGAAGTCTTGTCAAAAACAGGATTCTATTTCAGGACATAACTTTTCAGATTATCTGTACTTTTTGCTTTTTAAGCTATATATACTTTGCTAACATAAGGAGTACCTTGGGAATGGAAAAGAAGAATGTAAATAAATTGTTCATACCTAGCAAAATTTTAGAGGCATCCTACTCTGGTAGAAAGAGAACTGGAATAAGTTCAGCAGCCCTACGTTCAAATCCCAGTTCTGTCACTGAATAATTTTATGTTCTAGGTCAAATTATCCTACCTCTTTGTGACTCATTTTCTTCATCTGTAAAGTGAAAGATTGGCCTTAATGATTTTTAAGATCTCTTCTAGCTTTAAGAGTCAACTCAGAAGTCTCATCATGGGGCTACTTTCCCAGTTTATTGACCTTTCTTTCCTAAAGTTTTAGGCAATAACACCCAAAATGAAAGTTTCCTCTCCCCAGCTGCATTCATTGTCAGTACAAAAATGTGAGTATCACATTGTTTTCCAAAGTTAGATGCTTTGCGTTTTCAAGGTCCTAAAAATTAGATCTCAGTTACAACTTCCTTCCCAAGTGAGTGAAAGGGATGGAATTGCATATACCTGCTTGATTAGTGATAGGGGCATCAATATTTCTTGTAGTGGGCAAGGAGTCTTAAAAAGTTGCCTTTGGGTCACAGTTTAGTTCCACCCCGTTCTAGTCTATTGCAATTATTTTTGGGACATCGCCCTCTGCAAGTTCTCTTCTTAGTCTCTACTGGGTAACTTACTAATAGGTGTAATTATTTTTGCCTTTCAACCATGTACTTTCCTCCCACATCCCTAAATTTTGTGTTGTTTGCACTGATTCAGCTTAATAAGAGCCACTGGAGGGGTCACTTATAAAATTCCAGTAGCTCAGGATGAGGTGCTTACACAGAGTATAGTAGGCAGTGTTTCTTTTAATTTGTTAAAGTTGAGATTGAATGACCCTATGGGTAACAACTAGGAAACTGGGTTTATATAAGCAGACTTTACTGTTTTAATTAAATAAAAACTTACTGCAAAATCTAGCCATCCTAGTTAGTAATGTTCATAAATGTTACTGCCCTGCATAGTTATTATGCATAAATGATAAACCATTGATTCAAATGGTTCTAATTGGTATTACTATTAGATAACCAAACCAAGTATTTTTGGGGTCAAGTGGGAGGGATTGGACTGTGCAGGAAACTGGTCTGAGGGCCCTCTGAATATCTCTGGATTTGTAATGTGGAAGACTCAGGCAGTGGGACCTACTTGCTCCTCAGAATGGGAGCACCCATGACACAGGTCTTCCAGGAACCTCAGATTGGCAGATATACCAGGCAGATATATCACTTATTAGGAGCAAGGCAAGACATAATCTGAAGTCCCTGGACACACTTAGATTCGTGTGAACCAACCTGTTACTCAAATAGCATAATGGATCTTTATATAGAGCTTTACAATTTACAAAGTGATATGTAATCTCATTTAGTCATCACAGCAATTATCTGGGGAAGGTATTATTATTATCCCTATTTTGCAGATGAGGAAACTGAAGCTCAGAGATGTTTTCAAAGGCAAGATTTGAACCCATTTCTTTCAAACGTCAAATCCATTGTTCCTCTTCAATGTGTGGTACAGTGACTACATTGATAGTCTCCCACCTCCTTCACCCATTCCTTTTCACTGTGGTTCAAATGTTAAATTTTGCAGGGTAGAAGGCTAAAGTTAGGGGACAAAGTGGGACATGCTGTGTAGGCAGAGTAGAAATGATGACTCTGATGGTTTCCCTGAAGGAGGAAGGGAACCAGGCACCACAAAGCTTATCCTCTTCACCTGATCTAAATATTTACTGCCTGATTCTCAGCTCACCTGCCAAAGTGAGCTCATTCTATGATTAGGGTCCAGGATAGTATACGATAAACAGAATGTGTGCCTGGAGGGATTTAGTGTTATAGGTAGCTGCAAACATATAGCTTGGTAAGAATTCTGGATATAAAGTGAGAGGTGGTCAGAGGGATGCTATGCTTGCTGATACAGTTAGATTCTTGTCCACGTGAGCATCTCTCCTCCTCCTCCTCCTCCGGGTTCATCATTATGCTGTTAGAGTAAAGGCCCCAGTAGCGACCACAGCATAAATCATTTGCTTTTCATAATATGATTGTCTTCTACACAATCTCTGATGAACTCTCTCTGTATGATTGTTTTTTATTCATTTTCTGAAAGACTTCTTCAGTTAATATCAAAGCAGAAAAAGCAATGAATTTTGACTTGATTTTGATTTATTCCAGCTATCAGTTGAAAGAAACCTGAAGGCTAATAATTTTTAGTTTCCTTTATGTCTTTTGTTTTTTATATCACAACTGTTTCCAAATAAAGCCCCATGAAATGTTCCCTATGACAAAGCTCACTTTTTCCTTCTCCCCTGCCTCAGAGAGGAGAGTAGGTTGGATGAGATGATTTGAGGGAAGACACACCACTCACTTTCCATTCCTAAAATATTTCCCTCTACTAGCTGAAATTTTAGCAATTAGAGATCTTTATGGGATTAAGAGGTGTATGTTACCAAAAAAAAAAAAGTTATTCAAAGTTGACCAATAGAGGGACAACATCTGTATAACACTTTGCATTGGTAGCCAGACCTTCTACCTTCCCTACCAAAAGAAGAGAAATGTACTCCATCATCTGTCCTCTAGAACCTGACTTGGTCGGTGTATTTAATCTGAGATCGATTTGTTGGCTAGATTTTAGTTTTGTTTTCTCCTTTAGCCTAGACCATTAATTCACCAATAGACTTGGGAAATAATTACTGTTGCCTTTGTTATATACTCAAGGAATAGTTTTTGGTATTTAGGCCATGAAGCAGCAGATAATAATTAGGTAGGAAACATGGGGAAATTCTCAGAGCCACTGGGTATAAATGGAGTTAATTTAAGGATACAGACTTAACCTGACAAAGGGATTAATTGAAAGATGCAGAACCTAAGCAACTTGTAGGCCAGAATTTTGGCATATCTCTGCACAGAAACCCTGGCATACCAGTGCCTGCATGCCAGATAATTCTCTCTATATTTACTAGTCCTTTTTGAGCATTCTTAAATAGGTTGGTGTTTTATATTATTCCAAGTGGGTGGACAAATAAATCCACATTTATCTCTGAGAATACACAATACAAACTGGTAATTTGAGAAAGTGTCTGTACAAAGCCAAAAGGGTTGTTCTCTTTCACCATTATTATATTTGGGGGGGGGGAAGGGGGAAGGGAGAAAATAGGAGGGGACACTCTTTT